GGTTCGTCCCGCTCTGGTCCCGAGGATGAGTGCTCATGATGGGGCTGCTTGGACGCGGCCGGGTCGGATCGAGGCGTGGCGTCTTTCTTCAGTTTCTCGGCGCACGCCTTGTGCCACTTGTCGACCTCAGTGTCGGCTTCGAGTGGGAAGGCTTCCTTGGGCAGCTCGGTTGGAAAGGGCTCGCCCGTTTCAGGGTGCTTCAGCGCCCAGTTTTTGACGACATATTGCATGAAGGGAACGTGCTCTTCAGGCCCGAGCAGGATCTCGATCGACTCCCAGCGCACGAAGCCGCGCGGGGTCAAGGCAGGGACGGACGGAGGTTCGAAGTCGTTGCCGGGAATGGGCTGTAAGGAGTGTTGGCAGCCAGTAACACGCCAGATGTAGGATATGGACTGATGGTCCATGCCGGTAAAGAGGGCTGCGTGACACGATGCAACGGTCAGCAGCGATTCTCGGAATGGGGAAGGGGCATGCGCCAAGTCAGCCTCCACACTTACAGTCGTAATCGCCGCCGACGGCCCGGTAAAAGGCAGCCAGCTTGGTGGGCGTCAAGAAGTGAATACGCTTGTCGCCGATTTCTGCCATCTGGACAAGGCGGTCAGCAGGCGCCCGTCAGGTAGGTCGCATCAGGTAGCTAGCTAGCGGCGAGAAAGACGACGTACAATGTATTTTGCGACGGCGCGCAACAAGGCCTCGAGGGTTTTTGTCGGCGTCTTGTCATCCTGAAAGAGGTAGCCCCAGTAGGCGGGAGAGGTCTTGGGCGATTCGGGTCTCGTTGCGTTGGCGTTGTTGGGACTGGCGGACTCTTTCGAGTTGGCCTCTGCGGTGGGTGCCGCCATTCAGGGCGTTGTTGGTCGCGTCGGCATGGATTTCGAAGCTTGCGCAGGTGTCGGTGTTGGGGTGTGTGAGCTGTGACGGTGATGTTGCGATGCTGCAGTGAATAGTCGGAAGGAATCGGGGAGGGGGGGATTGCAGCTCTGGTGGGGGGAGTGGGAAGATGTGGGTTGTTGTCGGTCAACGGCCCAGACGGTGGTGAATGGTGGTGTAGCACACAATCGCATGCGAGCAGGCGGAGAGTGGGAAAGCAAGAAAGCGTAGGAAGCGAGAGGCAGGGAGAGGGGGCAGCGGTGATGGTGGGATAGCGGGACGGCGGGATGGCGATGGACAGGGGATCGTGGGCGAGGAAACGCGAGGGTGGTATTGACATGGACTGTCGTGAGGAACGAATCCCAGGTTATATGTATCGAGCGCGTCAATCAGCCCAGCCAGAGGCAGCAGAGGGTGATCATACGAGGAGTCAAGCGGCGGCAGGCAGCGGCAGAGCATGGGTCCCGTCCAGCTTGCTATCGTTGTCGACGGGAGGGTCAGTCAGGTCGGGTCAGGACGCGGGCAGGGTGCACTCATCAACCGAACGATGGATATGCTGGCTCTGCTGGCGCTGCTGGCTATTCTGGCTGATCGACGGCTGGGCTGACCTTGGCTTGAGATGAAGGGCACCCAAGTTGGCAGGCTTCAGCCAAGCGTCGTGACTCAGATTGCGTAGAGAGAAGTTGGAGTGCCAAATAGGGACGGCGGCCTCGTGGGTGCAGCTGTAGCGGCCCTGGTCATGCAAGCCATGGTGCTCTGTAGTAGGAGGGAGGTCCCAAATGGTGCGATGGCGGGGTGGATGGTTGGATGAAGCCTGTGGTGGGAAGGGGGGGGGGGCGGAGAGGGGGGCAGAGGGAATGACGATTCATCCCAGGTGCCTTGTGTTGCGTACAAGGTGAAGCGGGGCTGACTCCAACGGCGGCCAGAAATGGTGATCTGCCTGGCCGACAGCACAGGGCAGGGGCCCGCTCTGGTGAGGTGAGTGCCACCCGCACAGGGGCAGCCGGTACTTTCCTCAGGCACTGGACGTGCGATATAGGGGACATGGCGTCTTCGTCCGCCCTGAGGCTTGCCTTGTGTCTGTACAAGGTAGCTTGCCTTGCCCCACGATAGGTACTCTGATTGTTGACCTGGGACACCGTGGTTCAATCTCGAG